CCCCCACACACACACACATTAACTTTGATATTTATTCCCTTAATGTGAATGGGGTGGTGGTGGTACAGTGCTACTGATTAGATGCCTTCCTTCTGATCAGTAATTCAAAATTAGAAATGATGGTTGTTAGCCTAAATGGCAGGGATGAAACTTTCATTTCAAAAGTGTGTGGGGGAGACAAGGGGACATCTTGTAAAGCTGGGTTATAAAAGAGGGTAACATTCAGTTACACAGACATTAAACAATATTTTGAAGTTTTTTTTTTTCTTCTTCTTCATTCAAGGATGTATCTGAAAGAAAATGGAAGAGTGACACTAGGAATGTAGTTAGTTTTATTGTGAAACATACCATATAAAAGAATTATAGAAAGTAGAATGAAGTAAAACATTGCTCTGGAAGTGAAATAAAACCCTCGCAGGGTTAATATATTACAGTATTGATTAGAGCTTCAGTCATTTGGTACAACCGTAGGTGACTAGTTACCACAACCATTCTTTGAAAATGTATTTATCATATTTAAAACAAAATTCTTCATACCTCTAACTATTTGTGCACCATAGAATTGAAAAGGCCATTTGGGCTCACATCTTAGCTTATAGAAAGTTAACAAAGTGTGGAATATATCTTGGAAACAATGTACTTCATCCACAGTTTGAGAGTACTTGTGAAGGGAATGTATTTAAAATAATAAACAACAAATTATATTTTGTTCTGCATTTGAAAGAACCAATAAGGAGTAGAGAAAATTGAAAAAAGTAAACTTGCTTGAAGTCCTAGAATACCATATTTAGCTGTTCCTAGCAGAAAGTGCTTTAAACTCTGAATTCAGTGATGGCTTTCAGGATGAAGTGTATTAAGTGTAAGGAAAGCACAAGTACTACAGTTTGTGAAAGTTTGACAGACTTGCTTGGGTATTGTAATCATTGACGTTTATTGATGTCTAAGAATGGCTGCCTGCTTGGAATGTTAAAGCATAAAGATATCTGAAGTTGACTTATTTTTTGACTCTGAAAAATACTTAAATTACGATACAAGAAGTAATCTGAGAAATTAACTGTGCAGTATTCCAAGGAAAGTTACTTAGCTAAAATGTATGGAAATGGAAAATTGTGTAAGAGACTAACAACAGTACGTTACAATATACTTACTCACAACAGAATGGAGAAAAGTGAAAACTGCACATTGTTGTGGTTATCTTCTATATTACTTTTATGACTCATGGAAGGAAAGGTTACTCGTAGAGCCACAAAACAGAAGATCATTGTGGAAGTCTTACTAGTATAGTGATGTATATAGATTCAGAGAAAGTTTACTATTTTAAATTGTTTTTGCTCCTGAGATTTGCTTACCAGGACAACTTCTGATGAGCTGTTTCATTAAAGTTGCTGAAAGAAAGAATTATAAAGACTAGATGTCATACCAGTTTTTACTTGTAGTAGTATGCTGACTATTGATTCGATTATGGTCTTTTCAAATGAACTAAAAACAGCATGTTTAATGTTCTGTTCTTTCAGTTCGTAAGTAATTTCAAACTACGTCTTATGTAGTTCCCAAGATATACTTTTTCATTTGTTCTTAGTTACCTTTAAATATCGACCAGTGGTCTTGTAAATCTTATTGTCCAGAAATTGTTGCAGGTACTTGGTTCTGTCTAAAATTTGGTAAGTACATTTTTAGAAATGAGCATTGTGTATTTTCACTAAAATTATCTAATTCTACCATTTTTTGGGTTATGAATTTGATTGCAAGAAAGTTATTCACACAGATTCTTACTATGGAATTATCTTCAGAGATACAACTGTAGTAAATGGTATACAAGTGGTTTATATCCATATTAATTCCTTTTCCTGATTAACATTTGACCTGTTTATCTTTTAGTTACTTGTTTCTGATTATGTTAGATTGGAAGAGGATGTTCTTTTTCATGTTATAGGAGTGTGTATGTATTCTCCTTTATAGGAGTGTATGTTGTCTCCTTACGCTATCTGATATTTTATTTTGGTTGTGGTTCATCAGCATTATGGTTTTGTGAAATCTTTGTGTTAGTTGATAGTTACATGGAGACATTGAATTAGAGGTAAATATTTTTCTTTCCAAAAAATTGTTTATTTGCTAAAATTCTCTAATTGGTTTGGTTCTCACCTTCTTTAAGATGCCAATCTTGGTTTAAGACACTTTTTTTCTATTAACATGATTACTTTAATTATCATTCTCAACTCCCTATTTTCCTTGCAGCTTCATAGTCAGTTGTTAGTATTTACTTGTCAACGTTGTCATCTGACTTATTATCATATACAGTTAGTCTATCTTGATGGCATCCTCCACTTTGATCAGCCTTGTATTGAAAAACATGCTTTTATAACTGGGAAACTTTACACAGTGTATTCATAATGTTTGTATTCAGTGAGTGATATACAGCTTTGTTATTCACCAGACAGTCTTTATTGATTCCATCCTTTATAAATATATGAATAAACTATACTCATCTAAATGATACTGACTTGAGCAACTTATTAATCTTGATGAAAAATAAAGTCTTTCACTTTTGTGAACAATTTTGTAGTGAAGTTTGCTTTTTAAGAAGTATTTTTATTACATAAATGTAATGTATAGGAAAATTGAGAAAATAATACAGTTTATTTCATAAAGATACACAATAGTAATACAGTGATCCATATCTTGATTCCAACAGTTGTCAAGCACAGACTGTGGGATTCCTTGATACTCCTAAGCATTTGAATCGGCATAAACAACAAACAAGAAAAATTCAGGTTTGTTTTGATAAAAGAAAGTAGTGACTGGGAACCGTAATGATAATTGTTAATATTAAAGTCATAAATTCTTTGGAAAACATTTTAAAATACAGTGCTTAATAACACCAATTAGCTTTTAAGTGGTGGAATATTTTCAATTAATTGATTCTTCCTCACCATAAGAAGAAGGTTCTATTGGTCATTGTCACTGTTCAGTAAGTTTTTTTTCTTTATAACAAACTCTTAAATGACTTATTCCCATATTGCTTAATACTGAAAATTAACCCTTTCACTGTGGTTAGAATCTATATTTCCTTATGCTCCCACTCCCTCGCGCTGTGACTCGGACAAATGATTCCCATGCATTATCATTCAAAATTGCTGCATGTGATGTATGGGAGTAAAATGAGTTGGCATCCCACCTAATGTTGATATAGGGTTGCCCTCAATGTTTTCAATTTGGCCTTTCAATAACCAACAAGATGCCTAAGTGGAACATATGATAACTGCGTTCTGACTATGCCCTCATTGCTACAGCAGCGAGTCGTAACCCTAATTACTATGTAAATATGCTTGGTGCTCTTGACTTGGATAGTTTGGAAGATGGTGAAAGTGAGTCAAGTGGTGTTAAAATGTGTGATGATAAAGAGGTGATGAGATAAAAAGGATGCTAGCTCTCCAAATAGTGATGATAGTCAACATGATGAACCTGAACCCAGCAGAGGAAGGCATAAACAGCATAGACAAGGG